TGTTATGCACTTACGTTTCTCAACATTTGCCAATCAAAAAGCACCATGATGTGAGCTGTGTTCTGAACTGGTGAGAACACCTCCAATCACACACACACACACACACACACACACACACACACACACACACACACACGGTATCTGTTCCACGTGAGTAGGTTTCTGATGTTCCATGGATAAGTGACCCACACCTGTGCAGTCAAAAGCAAAAGCTTCTGCTTTGATGCAGACATGCAGAGGTTTTGCGGGCTTTTCCACAAAACACTTACGGGGAATATCCCCCAGGGCCCAGCCATCAAGCAGTCAGTCTGGGTGCTTTTCCTGTCACCTCCACAGCACCGGCTGCACGCTCAGTAGATGCACTTACCTTATGGCATCCAATCATTTGTGTTTAACGACTAGCCATGCCTTTATATCAATGCTCAGTGGTGCTTAAAAAAAGTAATTTCCTATAAAAGCAAATTCTTGGTACCATGGTTGCTTTGGACCCATCAAGGATATTATGTTGGAGACTGTAACGGAAGCAGTAAGGCGTTATGTCCATGTGTATTTGTACTGCATAGAAGTGGCTAACAAGTGCTAGCAAAAATCAGCTTCTCGATGTTCCAGAGCTACCCTTTTTTAAATCTCGATGGTATTAAGCACATCCTGCTGATCCATGCTGACACCTCATTTTCAGCTGAGGCTAAATGAGAGTTGAGTGGGAATGGAATAGTTTAGAAGAAGGGAATCTTTGTGATAATCCTATAGGTTAATTTAAATGAACTACTTAAAGATTAACACTATTGGAAGATAATAACCTGGAAACATAGAAGAATTTCTCATATGAATTCAGTGATCTGAAATCTTAATATGCAACATTAAATAATGCTCAGGTTCCTTCTTCACACACTTGAATTTTGACAATACCTCTCCTGCCTCCAAAAAGAGATGGCAGTTTTATGGTGCTTCAAGGCTTGCACAGCATGGCACAATTTATTTCCGCTAAATAAACAAATGATTTGAAAAATTAAAACACAAAGTTGAATTTTTCATAGCGAGTTGATTTACCTCTTGCCTGCAGTTTCTGCCTATAACGTAGAGAGGACGCCCCCTAGTGGCATTCTGGTGGAACAGTTCTCCAGCAGCTCTTACCTATTTCAGAGATAAATACCAACGCTGCGCTGTGTTCAGGCAGGCGTGCTGTGCTCTGGGGACTGTCATTGAAAATGAAGGTCACTATGGTTGAGAACCAAGTCTCTTCAAAGAGGTGAACCAGAAAGACAGGAATAAAGGAGTGGAAGTATCAGTGGAATGACAGAACACAGGTTGGGGAGGCAGGGAATGGAAGTAAAGAAGGGACATTACCCTGAGAAGCGTGATACCTCGCGGAAATTTCCAGTGATTTCATCTAATGAGGCATGAGCATGCAGATTAGAGTGAACACAGCTGAAAAACATACAAGGGCCAGAGCAGGACCTGCTGCAGGGTATGGGCCTTATCCTGCTTGATAATCTCCCCCAAACTGTGCTCCCCGCGGAGTCACCTACACCAGGGCCTCTGCTTTCCTTGCATCACTTTAAGCCACACCATCCAACCCATCACTTGTGCACTGACATGAGAAGAATTCACTCAGCTGGTGCACTGTGCGGGTGTTCAATGCCGAATCCTTGCTATTCTCAGAGACTATGCCAGAGACGCAGCATTCTGGGAGCCAACAGAAAGGAGAAAATTATTAAAGTCACAAAAGTGAACGAGTTAGTCATGGGAGGCCGTGAGAGGTGGAAGTGCAAGGCCAGAAGATGGCAATCCAACAGAACAGCAGAGCAAGAAGAAACACATCCAAGGGAGGCCGTATCCTGAAAGAGAAAGGGGGAGAGAGAGAGAGAGAGAGAGAGAGAGAGAGAGAGAGAGAGAACTTCTCAGAAGAAAATATAGAACAAAGTCAAATACAGCCGAGAACTGAGCTAAGCCCTAAATATGAATTATTAGGATTGTCAGTTAGGAGCTCATTGATTGTCTGAGAGAGAGGATAGGGGATTTGGAGAGGGGCAAACCTGTTATTTAGAAGAGCTGTGAAAGGAACGGGCATCATGGTCTGCCTTACCAAAGAGCCGCGCTGAGCGAGAAGGAAGTCAGAAGAGCATGACTTGAGAATATCCTAAATGTGGATTTTCCCTAAATCCTGAAAGATCTGTAATCAGCTTTGCAAATGGAAGAGCAGCACGCATGGGAAGCAAGAGGTTGGAAGTACAGCAGAAAGCAGTTATTTAAACAAGGGATCCAGAGCACAGAACAGAAGATTTGGGCTGGTCAAGAAGACAGGTGCAGGGAGAGAGGAAAGAGGGCGGAGCGCCTATGTGGTAGGTCTGAGAGCAAAGCCATACACGGTCCAACACATTGCTTTATTCCCTTTACTGTTGAAAGCAAGGACGGTAACTCGGAATCGCAGGGATCCAAAGGCAAGCGGACCCGAGAGAAACCTTTCAGCCACTGCTGTGTGGGGACTGAGTGACGGGTGGGCTAACACGAGCCGAGACTAAGCAGCCGGGCAGGACTGGTCCAAGCGGCGATCGTCAGTGCGTGGCCTGAGCCAGCGTGGCTTGCTGGCTGACCTCACGCTGCTCAGGGCCAGCAGATCACACGGCTGCCATTTTATCAGAACAGATAAAGCCAAGAGGAAGTTGAGGACACTGCCAAGATTTTTTTTTTTAAAGACTATTTCAGTTACAGAGTTACAGGTTCCAGAAAGAGTGGGGAAGAGAGAGAATTTTCCATCCTCTGGTTCACTTCCCATATGTGAACCAAGAACAGGGCTGGACCAGGCCAAAGCCGGGAACTAGGAGATTCATCTGGGCTTCCCCTGTTGGTGACAGCGCCCCAGACCCCTGAGCCTTTTGCTTCCCTGTGCCGTTCCTAGGCCCTTAGCAGACAGCTGGATGGGAAGCAGAGTGCCCATGCGACATGCAGGCATGGTGGGAAATAGCTTTACTCACTATGTCATAATGCTGGCTCCAAGATTTTTTTAAAGATTTATTTTTATTGGTAAGTCAGATATACAGAGAGAAGGAGAGACAGAGAGGAAGATCTTCCATGTGCTGATTCACTGCCCAAGTGGCCACAACGGCTGGAGCTGAGCCGATTCCAAGCCGGGAGCCAGGAACCTCTTCCAGGTTTCTCATGTAGGTGCAGGGTCCCAAGACTTTGGGCCGTCCTCGACTGCTTTCCCAGGCCACAAGCAGAGAGCTAGATGGGATGCAGGGCCACTGGGATTAGAACTGGCAGCCATATGGGATCCTGATGCGTGCGAGGACTTTAGCTGCTAGGCTACTGCTTTGGGCCCAACCCCAAGTTTTAAAAAAATTATATGCATTTTTAAAGCAGCACATATTAATAATACATATTTATAGGGAACAGTGTGAAATTTAAAAACATGTTTGCCGCTTGCAATGGTTTAAACCACGGTAATTAATATATCTATTCCCTCAGACATTTGCTAATTCCCTTTTTCTTGGGAACATTCAAATGCTCTCCATAAATTATAGAAATATTCGGCTATGGGTTGGAGCTGTGGTGTAGTGGGTAAAGTCACCTGGCCTCCTGCACTTCCTATCCAGGTCCTTATTAATGCACCCGGAAAGCAGCAGAGGATGGCCCAAGTCCCCAGGGTGCTAGCACCGGGGTGGGAGACCTGGAAGAAGCTCCTGGCTTCGGCCTGTCCCGACCTCGGCTATTGCAATTGTCTTAGGGGTGAGCCAGCAGGTGGAAGATTTCTCTTTCTTTCTTTGCGTAATTCTGTCCTTCAAAAATCCGAAGGAAAAAAAATGATTGATTTATTTGCATCCTCACCGACGTGTTGTCTTTTTCAGAGTAGCCAACTCGGGCGGGGGGCTCACTCACTGTCACATTGAGTTGTGTGACTATAGGACGTTGGGCATTTTCTCATATGGTTGCTGGCCATGTGTTCGTTATTTAAATTTCTTACATGTTCTGCGTATTCATCTGATGAATGGCTTACAAATATTTTTCTCATTCTCTTCGTTCATTCCAATTCCCATTCTGCCGAGTTTCTTCTGCATTTTAGAATCTTTAGATTGATGGGATCTAATTGTCTTATTTTTACTTTTGTTGCCTGTGCTTTTGGAGTTATATCCAGAAAAACATGTCCAAACCAGTGTCCGCAAGTACGTCCATGCTTTCTTCTGCCAGTTTCATGGTTTCACATCTTTAAGTATTTGATCCATCTTGAGTTGGTGGTTGTACATCGCAAAAGGACCTATTTTCTTCCTCCTGTCTATACCCTGTTTTCACAACAACAGATGTTGAAAATCAACTGACTTCTAAATATGTGAATTGAATTCTGACCTCTATTCTGTTCCAAATTGTAGAAGTAATTTTTTTTCTATTTCTATGAAGAATTTGATTAAATCTGTACAGCATTTTAGCTAGCATGGACATTCCAGAAATATTAATTTCAATTCATGAAAAACTGTGATGCCTTTCCATATGTTTGTGCCTCTTCATGTTCCTTAATCAGTGTTTTGTAACTTCTGTCGTAGAGGGTACTCAGTTCTTTTGTTAAATCTATTCCTAAACCATTTAATTTTTGCACTTACTGTGAATGGGACTGCTTTCTTGATTTAGATTTTAATGTATTTGAAAGATAGAGTAACAGAGAGAGACAGAGAGAGAAGTCTTCCACCTGCTGCTTCACTAGCTAAACAGTCAAGGCAGCAAGGCTGTTGCAGGCCAAAGCCAGGTTCAGGAGTGCTTCTGGCCTCCCACATGGGTGCAGGAGCTTAAGCACTTGGGCCATCTTCCACTGCTTTCCAAGGTTTATTAACAAGGAGCTGGATAAGAAGTGGATCAGACAGCTCGGTTTCAAACCAAGACCTGTAAGGGATGCCGGCATTAAAGACGGAAGCTTAACTCACTATGCCACAAGTCTTTTTTTTTTTTTCTAAAGACTGCCAATCCCAATAGTCTTTAACAACAACAACAAAAACAATAATAATAATAAAGATTTACATATTTGAAGGGCAGAGTTACAGAGAGAGGGAACAGAGAGAGAATGGAAGAGAGAGAAAGTGATGACTCACTATAGGGTTACAGCTACACAATAGGACAAGCATGAAACTTGCTGACTCCTTCCGCAACTGTAGAAGAACCGTCAGAGAAGCTGAGATCTATGACCCTAGAATGTTTAAGATTTAGTCATTCGAATAGTAGCTTCGTGAGAGCAGCAATCTCTGTTGGTTATGAACCTCATCGTACTCCTAGATACTAGAACTCCGCCTGAAACCAAGGAGGCTGCTGACAAACATTATTCAGTGAGTGGATGGACAGATAATGAATTCACATCTAATGGCTACCGAAACATGTGGGTGCTATAGCAGAGAAGCAGGGTAGCACAGAGGGCACACGGCATGGTGTATCTACTAAAATTTGTGGAATCAATAAGTGATATCTACATATATCTTTGTAGGAGCTTGAACTTACAATGTTTCCTTTGTTGAATGTGAAATAGAAGAAAGATGACAGGCTTTGAAATCAAACATTCATGGCTTCAAATCCTGGCTCCTCCAAATATGGGAGGACCTGTGCCAAATGGCATAATTTTCCTAAGCCAGTTTCCTCCCTTACATGGTGAGGTAAACAAGATGGCTTAGAGAGTGGCTTTGAGAACCATATAGGAAAATCAAGCCATGCTCCAAACCCTCACTGCATCTTTCTGGCTCCATAGATGTAGCAGAGCTGTGCATCTTAATTCCTTGGATAATTCATCTGAATAGTGCTTCAATGATCTTTTGTTTCTCTTAATCCATTCTGCAAGAAGCTTCTCTAAGAAGCCTTCTTCACCTGTTCAAAAAAACCTCAATTACCTCTCCCCTCTCAATTTTTAGCATTTCCTTCCAGTTCCCTTACTGTGTGTTTCAAATAGCAGAGACCATGGAACTTGGAACATGGAACGTGGCTACACAGTAACTTGGCCAAGGCAGATGCCTAATATGTGTGAACATTTAGCCTAGTGGTTAAGATATCTGTGTCCCACACAGGAGTACCTGGGTTTGATTTCCAGCCTTGGCTCCTGACTCCAGCTGCCTGCTAGTGCAGGTCCTGGGAGGCAGCAGTGGGGAAGGGTCCTGCTGCCCGTTTGGGAGAGCTGAACTGAATTTCTGGTTCCTTGGCTTTGGCCCGATTTCAAGCACTGGATGTTACAGACATCTGAGGATGGGAACAACAAAAGTTAAAAGGATATCTTACTGCTGATCACCTCACCCCTATATTCTCCTGACCTCAAACCCCAAGAGTTGTTCTACAGAGGCTGATGGGCCATCTCAAGGAGCTATACTATTATACACTGAGTCACAGGTCATTGCAACGTTCAAAAATTCTACAGAATTTATTGCCAGAAATTCCATACATATTTTAGAAAGCATCATAATATGTTGTTTATGTTTTGAGACTTGTAAGATGGGACAGAAGCCCCAGGAAGCATGCGAAATAGAATCTTCTTGGAGGATTGTTCCATGGTACTTCATAAGATGGAGATAAGTTAAAGTCTTTACTAATTCATGTTTTCTGGTCCAGGGGAACACACGAAGGCTCATTTTCATTTCTTCCTGTAGCTTAGGCTCCACATAATGAAACCATGAATGTATTCTCTTATCACCGAGAGACACAATATTTCATTCCTACCAATCAGCAATGATTACTGCAGCAAATCTGGCCCACATGACTGCAGCATCCAAGAGATTTTAGCACTTTCCAGCCATGGTGGCCTCTGTACAAAATCACTAATCATGTCATCTCCAGTTAATCAAATGTTATCTTTGAGATCTCCAAAACAGCCACACCCTAGGAAGTAGTCTAGCCAACATGCTCAGTGTCCAACGGTATTCCAGAGCTCTTATTCTATGTCCATCAGCAATCGGTGTGTTAGCATAAATGTAAAAAAATGAGATGAAATGGATTGTTTTATACAAAAGAGACATACAACGTAGATGGAAACGCAGAGTCTACCGTTTGAAAGCATGTCGCACGTGGACATCTCAGTTGCACAAGCATCATCAGAGAACTTGTTGGAAACCAAGATTTGTAACTCCTGACCTACTGCATCAGAAACTGGGGGGTGTGGATGGAGATTTTTAAATAAGCCTTTAAAAACATTCTAAGTCATGTTTCCATTTGAGAAATCCTGCCGTAAGGCAGTTGGGCAAATTCAAATCAACAGAATCCCAAGGGATTTCACAAGGAAAACTGAGTGGGCTCGGTGTCAGTCACAGCTCCCCTAATGGCCCTCCTTTAAAGGATGGGAGAAGGCCACAGATTCCAAGCGAAAAACAGTTGGAGATAGCGTCAGTACTTGGTGATCTCTTTTGTGAATTATTAGTGGCAACTTCATATGATTTCGGGCTAATTTTTGTAATTTAATAAATAAAAATACTTTCAGATGACATCTCTATGAAAAGCGAAGTCAGAACAGTTTGCAATAAGTTTTAGTGACAAGGACTTTTGCTACTTCCTTTCATCGATGTGTATATACAAGAGTCATCAAATTAGAACAGGTCACAAGGATCAAATTAAAGTTCAACCTGCCCCACTAGTCCCAGCATGTGGCAATATGTGCGCATTGCGGGCACTGATGTGATAGGATGATCAGATGGGATGCCAGCATGGGGAGACAGGTGTCACACACACCTGCCTTTGAGTCTGGATGCTCCCAGGGGGCCTCTAGGGACTGATAATCCTGCCTTTCTGAATAATTATTCCTCTATGTTCTGCTAACCTGTCTGATTCCTGAAGAGTTCCTTCTCTGATTAGTGGTTCTTGGACCCAGACTCCTCCTCAACTACACCTTCGTACTCCCCATCCCCAATCCAGAAAGCGCGAACCTAATCCTAGAGGTCTACCCTTTCATGACAAGCTTCCTGTCGGGGAGATTATTTTTATCCTCTAGAAATGGCTTGAATCCATAATTCTATGCAGTATAAAGAGAATCATTAACCTACTTTGCTAATTTACTCAGCAATGCTTATTATAACAGTTTTTTTATTACATAGGTTCATAAAGATTATTCAACTTAATTTTCAAGGAAACACCTTCTCTAAGCAGTACAACATGGCAGGCCCAGAAGAAATGCACTCAGGGATTGTGATGGAGTAATGGCCCCTCGAGACATTCAGGTCATAATTCCACACCTGTGAACATGGTATGTTACAAATGATCAGATTAAGCATCATCATGAGCTGGGGAGGTTTTTCTGGATTAGATGAGTGGACCCAATGCAATCACAAGGGACCTTTATAACAGACAAGCAAGGAGGTCAAAGTAAAATAAGAAAAATATAAAGCAGATGCCAGAGAGAGAGAAAAAAAGAGAGGGGAGAAATTTCAACATGTTATATTATAGGCTTGGCAGATGGAGGGAGAGGCTGTGAATGGAACAGAAAAACTGTAAAAGCTGGAGAAGTCAAGGAAGTGAATTCTCTAGAGCTTCCAGAAAGATGACAAAGACTTTTGAGCTCTACACATGAAAAATCATTCATTTGTGTTACTTTAAGTCATTAATGTGTGATAATTTGCTAGACCAACGATAGGGAGTTTACAATCTAGTAAACGGATACAAGCAACTTCAGTATTGTTTAGAAAGTGACAAGTACGAAATAGACATACTAAGACATTTCTGTGGAAATTCTGGTAAAGTGAGGACTGGTACCCAAGATGGGATAGGACTTTCTCTGGGGCAGGTTCAGGAAACTGAAGGAGAGAAGGCACAAAGTTGGAGGGCATTAAAAAACCAAAGAGCTAACAGGCACCTGTGGTCAGGTGATTTGTCAGGCACAAGCATTCCTTGAACAGAATTTCATGTATTTGATACAGGATATAATAGCTATTCAAGTTTGTAGAAAGAAGAAAAGACAATACAACCACAATAATAACCAATAGCTTCACTGTATGTGCTAAGGGACCCTAAGAGCTTAAACACAGAAATACAGATCTTAGGTAGAAATCCCTTCTCTTCAGAGTATGTCATCGACAGGGGTGAATCTGGCCCATCTTCAGAAGGACACTGAGGAACAACCAAGACACAAAAGCAATTCTTTCAAAAGAGATCTGTTAGCATTCACAAACCAGACATTTCCCACAATCCAGGCAGAAAACCTACACCAGATACCAGCAAAACGTGCTCAGCACATAGAGGCTCTGAGAAGGCAAGGAAATTCGGTGCCTTTCTAGTAGTTTTCGATCATATTGTTTGGTTGAAGTCAGAAGTGACAATCTTGAATAGTGCTGAATGGCTCACATTTAGCCTGGCTTTGATTTTGCAGGCAATTATCCTGATAGTTTTTGAAAGTAACTCTGTTGTAGTGGTTGAGAAGAACAGAATATATATATATATATATTCATACATATATTCATATATACCTGCAACATCTTCCCAAGCCACCAGCGCCTGCATTCAAAGAGTGTAGGCGACAATTGCTTTTTCTTTATCTTTTGGTTACCTTCACTGCTTTTTATACTCTTCATGTTTGGTCCAGAAAATCTCAGAGGAACAGCTGGTCTCCACTGGCCTGCTCCTCCAAGAAGGGTCTGCAGCATCTGTGGAGGAGTCCACGGGGATCTCACAGGCCCCTAAGTCCTGGGAGGGCACTCCATGCTCTGGGAGCCATTTTTCTTCACAACAACCAGGTGCGGTGCAAGCACCTTCTATAACTTTGTTCCCTGGTTTTCTGTCCAAGCCCAGAAAGGTAACCTCGGACTGGCTGCACTCAAAAGGAGTCTTCTGAGTCATTCTCTTTTCCCTCAAACCTTTAGCACGAGGTGGTGAATAGCGATTCTGGTTTTCATCATCTTCCATGGGAATACTTGGTACATTGTCCAAGAACAGAGGAGAGGGACATCGGAAGGACTTAAGAGATGTGGGGGGATCGTCGGCAAAATACAGGCTGGCTTGGGCACTTTCCAGCGTGCTCAGGACCTAAGGAGCGAAGAAGCAAACCCACACTGAGTTGAGCTTGAATAACTCCCCTCTCTGTACCAGTTAAACGATCATCTCATTTCCATCAAAGTTAAATATAAGATTTTAAAATAGAAAGGATTTTTAAAAAGTTACTTATTTTTATTGCAAAGTCAGATATACAGAGAGGAGGAGAGACAGAGAGGAAGATCTTTCATCTGTTGATTCACTCTCCAAGTGGTTGCAACAGCTGGAGTTGAGTCAATCCGAAGCCAGGAGCATTTCTGAGTCTCCCACATGGGTGCAGGGTCCCAAGGTTTTGGGCTGTCCTCGACTACTTTCCCAGGCCACAAGCAGGAAGCTGGATGGGAAGCAGTGCCACTGGGATTAGAATCAGCGACTATCTGGGATCCCAGTGCATTCAAGGCAAGGACTTTAACCACTAAGCTATTGCACCAGGCCTGTGAAAAGTTTTTAAAATACAGGTGTCTGAGTCCTTTTTTCCTTATTTCTTGAATACCAATACTCAGGTGGGGGCCAGAAACTGTATTTTAAGAGAGGTCCCCGAGGCACAAGCCATATGGAAATGTCAGTTCCAGCCTCGCTTGTCCACTTCTGAGCCAGTTTCCTACCAACGCACCTGAAAAAGCAACAGATTGTAGCCCAAGTGCTTAAGGCCCTGCCACCCATGTAGGAGATTAGCATGGAATCCTTGGGTTCCGGTGTCAGCCTAGCCCAACCTTGGTTGTTGCAGCCATTTGGAGAGTGAACCAGCAAATGGAGGGTATTTTTTTTTTGGTATCTCCTTTTCCTCTCTGCCTTCCAAATAAGTAAGTCAATATTTTAAAAACCAGTTCGATGCACAATTCATTCAATTTATTTCCCCACTGTTCTGACTAAACCCATGCATACACACACCTCATCCATTGACGGCCTGAACTTCGCTCGCGTTGCAGCACACTGAACTGCTAGAGAGAACATCTTGGCAGAGAAATTCCGAGGACAGGGAGATACTTTTTTATCCAGAAGTGAGAGACATGAGTCAAGGCCCCTCTTCTCCATCAGTTCCATAAGCAGATCGCGCTACGAAGAGAAGCACACAGCCCTATCATATAGAACCACATCATAAAAGTAACCTAAAGATAGACGCCAACATGAAGGCAGCTCTTACCAGCTGAATATGTTTGGGATCATCTAACACCACTCTACAACCTGTTAAAACTTCCATTATTACCTAAAAGAAATGTACAGAAAGTGAATGGCGCATGTTAAATTTAAAGACACAATTTATTGCAACAGTTACTGATAAAAACTATTTTATATTTTATTTCTTCATCGATTCTATAAAATTAATACATATGATGGTGAATAAGTTAAGTCTAAACTTTACAAGGTTTTTCTTTGAAGATGTGTCTTAGAATTTAGAATCTTCCTGGCAATCGCTTCTGCTCCTTTGCTAACTGGTGGTCAGTACTTACAATCCCAAAGCTGTAGACGTCTGTCTTCACCGAGAGTCTCCCTTGCCTGATGTACTCTTCCGGCATGTACCAGAGATGTCTGCTATTGCTGCTGGCCGTGCTGATAGCAGAATTCTGATGTTCAAGGTGGCATCGGAAGTGTGCCATGGCAAAGTCAGTTAGTTTGGCTTCACAGTGATCATCCAAAAGTATGTTTGCACTAAAATTGTGATCAATGACAAACTAGATGAAACATCAGAAGGCATTTCCATGAAAGATAAAACGGCAATCCCACCTTCTTGTGTGGTAAAGTAGAAATGACAAAATAAAGCTAAAAATAGGTCCCCTGAAATAGAGAAAATTTCTTTTTCATTTTGATTAAAGTTTAAGCTCAAGTATTGTATAAAACCTAAAGCAAAACCTTGACATATTCACAATGAACATTTCAAACTTATAGACATGCATAAGGACATGGTGAATAAACCCAATGATTTGTCAAAACAAAAAGCAATAGACAACCAAAGTTCATGCTTTTACACTTAAATAAAATGTCAATTAAGTTTTAACTCACTAATAAGTGTGGTGCATGGAGTTTATGCTGCACAGTGCTTGGCATAGAGCTGTTCACCTGGAATAATCTCAGAACTATTTTGTAGGCCCTGCCTTAAAAAGTCTTACCCATTTATTTCATCTTGAGGGCTTTATTTATTGTCTGTGGATCTTACTTAAAGTCTAAGCATCTACAGAAGCAAAGACAAAGTGCTTCTAGTCAATGATTACAGACATATTTTAATCATCATTTGACATCATGGCAGGAGTTAAGTGTTGGCACCCTTTCCACTTCCAAAGGCAGGGACAGAGGAGGAGCCAAGAGGAGGCGGCATTCCACATGGGGCACATTGAGGGGCAGGTCGGGTCTGTCTTCTCTCACCGACGTGAGACCACTGGCCATATAAAACTGCTTCAGCCCATAAGACTCCGTGGGAAAGGAGGAAAGCAGTAGCATGTACAGACATACAGGGAGTAAGAACTGTACCACCTGGCCTACGGTACTGCTGAATAAATAGTAACTAAAATTAAGCTTATTAACAGCTTATAAGAAAGCAGACACATGTAGGCACATATCCGAGTGCCTGGATTCAAGTCTTGACTCACTCCTAACTTCTTTACAAAGCCAAACTGATGAGAATACCAGAGAATTTGTGAGACACCTAAGAATCTCTGAATTTTTTTCTGATTAGAAAAGAAAAAAATAAATAAAAGCAACAAGAAAATTGTAATTGAATCCATTTCCCAGTGAAACTGGGAAACCACCTTCGGCAGTTGATGAGTCACACTGCTGTGAAAGTCAGGCAGGGTGAGCTGGGAAACCACAGACAACATGCCACACACCAGCAAACCACAGAGGACCACAGGTCCGTGGGAGGTCATGGACAGGATATGAAATTATTTGAGAGAATGCATTTACACACTGACCAGTGATATCTGATGGAAAGCCAATTCATTTACCAGCAGACTTTAGTGTTCAACCTACATTTTTGAGCCCAGTGATTTACTTGGTTCTAAATAAAGGTTAATAGTAGCAGAGGAAGAAGGACGTCCAGATTTAGGGAAGTGGAAATTGCAAACAGCACAGGAACAATCAATTTCTAACCTAATTTGTCTCCCTGTTTCAACACAAAGTATGTTTGGCTACCACAGAGGTTTAACTGAACAGACTCACCCTGTGTTGTGAAAACAGACTGATGAAAAAAAACAAAATGGGGCTGAAGTGGGCACAGCAAGCTAATTCCTTCCCTGCAGTGCTAGCATCCCTGATGGGTACCAGTTCATGTACTGGATGCTCCACTTCTGTCTGCTTTCTGCTTATAACCTAGGAATGCAGCAGACAATGGCCCAGGCCCTGGGCTCCTGCACCCACATGGGTTAGTTCCTTGCTCCTGGCTTCAGTTTGGCTCAGCTATAGCTGTTGTGGCCATGTGTGGAGTCAATTAGAAGATCTCTCTCTCTCTCTCTCTCTGTAATTCTGTTAAATAAAAATAAATACATCTTAAAAAATAAAGACAAAACCAGTAGAACCACAACAATACAACACAAAGAGGCAGACTGTTAGCTATGATAGCCATCAGAGACAGCTACACACACACACACACACACACACACACACATCAACATTGGTCTACACCTTGGATTTAATATTCCCACATTCTTTTTTAATAGATGCATTTATTTTATTTTTATTGGAAAGACAGGCTTACAGAGACAGAAGGAGATAGAAAGATCTTCCATCCCACTGGCTCACTCACCAAGTGGCTGCAATGACCAAAGTTGAGCCAGTCCAAAACCAGGAGCCAGGAGCCTCCTCGGGGTCTCCCACGTGGGTGCAGGGTCCCAAACCTTTGAGTCACTCTCTAATGCTTTCTTAGGTCACAAGCAGGAAGCTGGAGGGGAAGCAGAGCAGCCAAAACACAAACTGGCACCCATATGGCATCCTGGCACATGCAAGGCGAGGATTTAGTCACTGAGCCGTTACATCGAGGCCAATACTCCTGGATCCTGAATGACCTATTTTCATAGGATTTTTACTGTAAGAGAGGCTATCACCTCTCTAAAGTATTCTTTCAATAGAGAGATCCCAGGTGGTTCACTGAATAAGTGAAAAATCTTAATCCGGTGGTGACATGGAATCCTGACTCTGGGGAGATTGATTAAGAGGGATTTCTAGGACAATTATTTTTGGGAACTGAATCCTCAAACAACAGCTTCTTGGTAATGAGGCTTGTTCTTTTTGCTCACCATTTTTGTCTTCTTTCACTGAAACTCCTTGTCCTTAAACCTAAAGAAAGATTAAATACCTTCAGCTTGTTCCCCAACTTACAACTTTGTAACTACATGATGATACAAAAGTGATACACATTTAGCAGAAGTATCACTTCCAGCTTTGAATGTTGAGCTCTTCCTGTGCCTGCAAGACACGGTCCAATGCTCTCTCATGACATGAAGCAGCAGTGGCAGGGAGCACAGCACCCAGTCAGCCCATGCCCATCGGGGGAAGACCACCTGTGCTCCACAGTGTTCTATGTTGTTGGCAGTTTCTGGATTCTGGTACTCAGTAAATGATGAGGTATCTACACTTCATTACAGAGCAGCTGTTGTGTCAGATGATTTTTCCCAGTTGTAGGCCAATGTAGGCATTAAAGTATGTTTGAGTAGGCAAGGTGAAGCTATGATATTTGGTAGGTGGACATATTAAATGCATTTAACTTAGGATATTTTTGGCTTCACAAGGGGTTTACCAGGACGTAACCTAGGATGTAAAAGAGAATCTACGGATGCTAATGCATGATTTTAATTTAAGTGAGAAAAATGCTCGCCATGTAAGAGCACATCGTGTGTGTGTGTGTGTGTGTGTGTGTGTGTGTGTGTGTGTGTGTGTGTGTGTGTGTGTGTTCTTTTTGGAGAAGCAGAGACAGGCAGACCAAAAGGGATTCCATCTTCCAGTTCGTTCCTCAAGTGCCCACAATGGTTGCCCTGTGCTGGGACTAAAGCCATGAGCTAGGGATTCCATCCAGGTAGGTGCAGGAGTTGCTTGACCCATCACCTACTGCCTCCATGCGTCTGTGTTAGCTGGAAGCCAGGTTCAGGAGCGGGAGTGGGGAATACAACCCACAGGCATCGTAACAGGCTAAATACCTGCTTCCTAAAGCTAACACAGTTTCACAGGAGGTTATTGGTGTACCCTTGCCTAGCTCCTCATTGTCTGATAATTCTTGGGAAAAGTGAAGACTTTACCTGATTTATCCCAGACACAAATAACACTCATTGGCCTAGCTGGCACATCCTGAATAACAAGACACATGTGCTGTCCACTTCATGGTACCCCTTGCTAGATCCCCTGCCTCCCCTCGCCAGATAAAACAAGACCCAGCACCACCAAGGCCTGCAAATTATGGGAACATTTGCACACACACACTTCTGCACCTCTGTCTGCCTTTCTTCCTCCAGGATTAATATGAAGCTAACGCTCTTGACTCCTATGTCGGATTGCAGAATTTTTATCTTTCTCCCCCCATTAAACTTAGGTAGGACCCCTGGGCCCAGTGTGGTATCCTAGCAGCTAAAGTCCTCGCCTTGAATGTGCCAGTTCTGATCCCGGCAGCCCCGCATCCCATCTAGCTCTTTGCTTGTGGCCTGGGAAAGTAGTCGAGGACGGCCCAAAGCCTTGGGATCCTGCACCCATGGGGGAGACCTGGAAGAGATTCCTGGCTCCCAGCTTCAGATCAGTGCAGCACTGACCGTTGTGGCAGCTTGAGGAGTGAATCATCAGATGGAAGATCTTCCTCTCTGTCTTTCCTCCTCTTTGTATATCTGACTTTGTAATAAAAATAATTTTAAAAAATCTAAAAAAAGAAAAAAACTTAGGTAGGCCCTAGTGACTATAGAAGAGTTTGTCTGCCTCATTGGTGCCTGATAAGTTTAAACTCACTCTGTAAAGGAGCAGTCACTGCACAAGGCTTGGGAGCAGCCCAGACCAAGCCAGGTTATGATACCCGCTGGCATCGCCTGGGTCGGGTCTTGGGGTGGGCCAGCCTGGGCTAGCTCATAACACCCACTGGCACATCTAAAAACCAGGATAAGGTGCAGGACAGGCCAGGCAGGCCAGGTTAGGCTGCAATACCAGCCAGCTCACATTAGAGCTGGGACTGGGGGCTGGCTGGGCTGGGCCAGGCTACAATACCTGCTGGCAAATGTTGAGAAGAGGTGGGGCATTCCAGGCTGAGCCACAGCACTCATCAGCTCATGTGAGACCCTGGGCAGGGGGAGGGCACGAACCCTGTCGTGGGGTTGCAGGGCTTCCCCCTACTGGTCTACTGCTCCCACTGACAAGTGTGGGAACCGGGATTGGGGGCAGACCAGGACAGGCAGAGCTACAACACCTGTTGGTCTGCATGTGAACTGGGCTGGGGGAGAGCCAGGTTGGGCTAACCAACTGTACCTACTGTTGTCTGCACAGCTCAGAGTTAAAGCAGGCTGGTTGGGCTTTGCTACAGCATCAGCTGACAAGTGCTGGGACTGGGGGCAAATCCTGTCATACTAGACTGCAGAACACCTGGAGAGAGCAAGATCCAGGACTGGGAGTTGGCCCAGTAGGGAAACTGGGCATTTCTCTGATGGGTTATAATTCCCATTGGTGAGCATGGGAACCAGGGCTGGGGGCAG